CCGCCGGCGCCCGCTGGCCGAGCCGAAAGTCCCCGCGCGAGCCATCGCACAAACGCGCGCGCAAGCACGCCTGTTGCTGACCGCGCGGGCGCGCCGGTCACCATGCGTCCGGGTGGCCGGGCCTCGGACCGGGGTGCTGTGGATCTTGGGATCCGCCGCGCGAGCCCCCCCCCCCCCCCCGGAGAACACACGGCAGAGGAGATCGTGTCGGTGTGCCACGCCGCACATCGACCTGGGCTTTTCTTCTCTTTGCCCTCCCCCCGGCGCCGCCCCTGGCCACCAGCTACTCTGGCTGCCCGGAGGGGGGAGTGCCCGCGAGCCTGGCGACATATGCCCCGGACACGAAGGCAGGGCAAACAAACCCCGGGGTGGACAACCCGAACAACACCCTCCCCGCCAGGTCGGGCCGCCGAGGGCCGAGCCGCGGCTGCCACCTATTCACACACGCACGCATCGTGCGGTGTTGCGGGAAAAAAAAAACCCGACACAGCCCCCGCTGGTCGCCCGCCACCGGAGAGCTCCGGGCCTTAGAGTGCGCGAGGGGGGGGGGGGGGGAGGCTGTGCACATGCGAGTGGGGGCCGGGGGTGGGGGAGAGACACTGCCCCGACCGCGGCGCCCGCCAAGCGCGAGGCAACGCCCGGACGCCTTCCCCGGCCCGGGAGAATGGCCCCTTGACCATATCCGGGCGTGGTCGAGCGGATCGCCGGCTACACTCGCGCTGTCTCGTGCGCCCTCCCCCCCCCCGCCGCCGCCCCGGCACCCCTGCCCGGGCGTTCCTTCCAGGTCGGCCCGCCCTCTGCCCCGGGTGTGGGTGAGAAAACCGCGGCAGACTGCTCCGGGAACCGACGGGCCTTCCCGGCATCGCTCCCACCTGGCGTTTCACAGGCCTGCCCTCTCGCCACCTCCTTCTGTCCTTGCCCCCGCCCCGCCCTACTCCACCCCCTTGCCTCCCTTCTCGCCCCGCCCCACCTTGGATCCCCTCGATCCAGGCGCGCGTGCCCGCCCCCCCCCCCCCTCCTTGGAGCCAGGTATCCCCCCTCCCCTCAGTGAGAGAGTGAGCGAGTGAGCGAAAGGCCCAGCCACCGCCCCTCCTCGTCCACCCCTCGGCGAAGCGATCCCTCCCCTCTGGCCTGTCACTTTGTGTACGCCCCCCTCCCCGCCCTCCCCTCGCCTCCCCTCCCCACCACGCGGCTACTCACTTCCCCCCCCTTCGTGGCCGCCTGCCTGGTCTACCAGTCGGAATGGGTATGCCCCCGCCGGGCCTTCGCACCCCCCCCCCCCCTGCCCCCGGCCCACAAGCAGCAGCAGCATAGCCACAGCACCAGCCCCACTTTCACCATGTCCGGGTTAACCCCCGTCATCGCCACCCTGCCGGAGCTGTTCGCCAGCATCTCGCAGAGTGCCGCCGACAACATCTCCGCCGCCGGCTCGCCCAAGTACCAGCTTTACATCACCCCCCAGGGGCAGCTTGGCTGGACCGACCCGTCGGTTGACCTGGCCGTCGAGCTGGGCCAGGTCCTCGGCAAGACCATCCTCGGGTCCATCGGTTTCTTTACCCTCATTCTGTCCTTCGTCTCCTTCGTGTACATCTGGTTCAACCGGAACTGGCTTCCCTTCAAGGCACGCCAGCCGGCCGTCGTCGGCGGCATGATCATCGGTACGTCTCCCTGTGCCTTTTTCTTCTTCCTTTCCTCCCACCCTGCCCCTTCATCGGCTCTGAGCCCGGGCCGACCCCCTGCTGCATCTTCCTCCGGCGCCTTCCCCCTGCTGACTGCGCCACCTTCACACCTTGACACGCATGGCTCGACCTTCCTCCCGCGGCCTCCCCCAGGCGGTATCAACTTCTTTGTTGGCGTTTGCGTGCGTTGCTCCTGTGCCCTCGCCTTTCGCTGCTGGCCCTCCCACCTGCCCACCTCTGCCACCGCCCTGGTGCGCCCTCTCCCCTGATACTGACCCGTCCGCCTGGCACTTTACACTCGCTCGTACACACACACACACATACACACACGCACACACACGCCTGCTCAGACTGTCTACAAGTTCATCCCCTGCTTCTGGCCCTGGTGGTGCATTTTCTACTGTGCGTCCTATGCCGCTTGAGGACGCGCCACATGCTCGTTCCTTTTTGTCGCCGCCTGCCTGCACCCACCCCTCTGACCCCGGTGACTCGCGCGTGCTTTCCATCCCCCCCCCCCCCCCTGCCGCCGCTCTCCTCCCCGGCACATGTGGACCATTTCCAGACTGGCTCATGGTCCCCTTCGGCCTGGGGCTGTTCCTGGCCATGTTCTTCTTCCGCATGTGGCGCCTGTTCCTCATTTTCAAGAAGATCAAGATGACCTTCTGGACCCTCTACGGCGTGACCTTCCTCTTCTACCTGCCCCACCTGATTGATGCCATCATCCTCACCTCCATGAACATGATTCGCCTGTTCCCGGTGGTGCGTGTCACCCCCTCGCATTTTGCCATCTTCCCCTCCTCTCAACCTGCTGCTTACCGTCCTCCTCTCGTCTCCCCCTTTCGCCCCCCTGTCCCTTAAAATTACAGGCCGGCTCAATCAAGACCCTGGTCTGCATCAATGTCAAGCCCTTCCATGTGTGGATCAACTTGACCGTGTTCATTTGGAGCTTCCTCGGCCTGGCCGGGCTGATGTTCATCAATCGCAAGCTCCCGCCCAAGCACTTCAACGAGTACCGGCGCACGCTCTTCCAGCTGAGCATCTTCGCCGTGCTCTTCGCCTCCTACATTGCCATCTCCTCGCACCGGTATCACACCATGCCCGGGGGCTACTGGGGCATTGTCCTCCCCTGGGCCTCGGTGATGATTTTCTACTGGCCGATTGTCGGCATCCCGCTCTACCACCAGTACGTCCGGGCCCCTCCCTGCCTCACGCTCCTTTGGTCGCCCTTTGCCGCGCCCCCGGATGTGACTGCTTTCTCCCTCCCCCCCCCCGGTGGTGGTGGCGCCCCATCATGTGCACCCCTTGCTGACTGTCCCTCCCTCCCCCCCCCCCCCCTCGCCTTGCTCTCATGCGCGCAGCATCTTCAACCGCGAGGAGTACCTCGTTCGCTTTGCCGCGCACTTCGAGTTCGCCTTCGACTCGTCCAGTGGCGGTCGCGGCTCGACCGGCGCGTCGCGCTCTTCTCGCAAGCAGGACCGCAAGAACCGCGCCAATGGCAAGGACCGCGACCTGGAGAAGTCCATCTCCATGCACGAGATTACCCCCTCGTACGCCACCTACAGCACGACCACCGAATACGAGCTGGAGTCCATGGCCGAGAATGAATCCGAGGCCACCTCTCCGAACATGAGCATGTCCCACTTGCCGGGTGCCGTGGCCACCGGCTCCATCTCCTCGGCCATGCCCTCCCCCTGCCTGACGGCCATGTCGCCCGTGGACAGCACCTACCAGATGGCAGGGCGTGCTTCTATCGGGGCCCAGAGCATCGCCTCGCTGGCCGGCTCCGATGTCCAGTCTCTCTCGGCCGCCGACCAGCAGCCGCATGCCGCCCCGACCACCGTTCCCCCAGCTGCCACCACCGTGGTGGTCTCCGAGCCGCCGATGGTGGTCACCACCACCCCTGAGGTGACGGCGGCGGCCGCGGCCGCGGCACCCTCCTCGCCACGCTCCGTGGCCAGCCCCTCCGGGGCCGGGGACAGCGATGCTGCTGCTCCCCCCTCCGGGGCCGAGCCCTTGGACCTGTCGTCTGACAACGACAGCGACGACAGCGGCCAGGAGAATGTCATCTAGGCGTGGTGTGGCCCAATGGCGGCAACGCGCGCTTAGAGGGTCACGCTCAAGAGAGGGGGCTCCCACACGGCACTCATGCCCACATGGAGAAGCATAAGAGCTGGCGCCTTGCCCGGGCGCCGCGCTCACTTGCGCCCTTCTCTTCCCCCCCCCCCTCTCTCTCCGTCTCTCTTTCTCCCTCCAAACACATCTGCCGTCCTCCTGTCTACTTTTCTGTCTCTCCCTCGCTCGCTCGCGCTCTCTCTCTCTCTCCCTCTCTCGCAGAGCCATCCTAGTCCGGTCTCTGCGGCTGGGAGGAGGTGGGCGAACAGAAATCGTCAGCACCATGCAGCCCTCCGTGCCCTCGCCCTTCTTCGGCCTTTGCGCCGCGAAGAGGCAGAGACCGCAGCAATCATGGCGACACACAGGCACCAGGGGGAGCTGCCTTCACTTTCCTCTCCCCTGCGCGTCGTGCGCCGCCCCCCCCCCCTCTCCGGGTGGCTACCTGGTGGTCGCCCCGCCACTCCCCGTGTATCGTGCCCTTCTCCGCTGGCGATGTGCCGCTGCGAGAGGGATCGGCATGTGTCGGGGAGCATCCCTCAGGGCAAGGAGGAAACACACCTCCAGGGGAAGGGGCGGGAAGCCCTGAAGAGGGGGTATTCTCCTGCTTCCCCTCTTGCTCCCCTGCTCGTGTGGCGTTTCCCAAAAACAGAGCCACTTGGAGGGATTGCTGTGCTGCTGGCCAGAAAAAAAATCAGATAACAATACAAACATACGAACTCGCAAAAGCGCCTACCCCAGAGCCCGGTCCCTGCCACCCTGCCTTTTTGCGTCCTGGGGGGGG